ATGGAAAGGATGTAGCACAAGTTTAAGGAAGCTAAAGATTATATATAAAAGGATTAACGAGTTTGCTTGACAATTTATAGTAGATTAATTAAGAGTAGCAACTTGTGCTCATAAATATATCACCCTAGAAACCAAACTTGTTTAGCGTATAAACTCAATTAGAGAAATAGTCTATAAGTTGTTTAAAATAAGTTGACAAATAAGTTTTCATACACTTTTGGACATGAGCATTTGCACAATCTAATGGATTTGATGAGAAGAAAAGAGCGACCATTTATAATATTTAGGATAATAGAAATATGCACTTAGGGATGAAACACATATAAGAAAGAAGGACCTATTTATACTTGAGCAAAGAATTCTTAGAATCACGTCTCAGTGATCGAAATGAAATGCTGATTGTGCTAGCCTAGCCATCCTATTTAATAGAAAAAGAAAATAGACCAGCGTTTATGTATCGTTAATATAAGAAAAAAATAAATAGGCCTATTGGAATATCCACATATACAGCCAAAAATGCTGAAAAGAGATTGTATGAATAAATCTAAATGAAGCCAATAAATGAAATTGAATGTCAATGATGAATAAAATAAAGAAATGGACGCAGGCAACCAAAATACAAGAATTCGCGCATTTAAAAATATTAGTGATGCAGTCGGGGAAGAGGGCTTACATTTGGCTTAATGGATATAATTCGGCGTTCTGTAATGCCTTCAGGACGACCCCAACCTGATGCTTCGATTCGTTCTCGATGGCACGGTCGGCCAAAGCCATCACGACCAATACAACCTATAGCTTCGTCGTCCAATCGTAAGATATCAGGCCCTCCAGCCTGGGAACTATCATCGAGCTCGTCGTCCCAATCAGTCTTAGTGATCCTCTCTCCAGAGGCCTTAACAGCGCCGGAAATGGAACCATTTTCATCGTCTTCCTCTTCGCCATCGTTATCGTTGTCTCGCTTTGCTTTGCCGACACCTTCATTACGATAACGACGGTCGCGGGTGCCGCTCGCAGGAATTGCAACCCCAGGAAGGTAGACCTGCATCAGTATGCGAACAAGAGGAGGACCTTCAGGTCCTGGTACTTGAAGGATATCATCCCAGCGTAGGGAATGCCATAGTGTGCGAAGGTGGAGCGCCAAACTTGACAAGCAAACGGGCTCGAGAGAGTGATTTGAGTCAATTTCACAGACAGGTAAAATTGCTGAGGACGAGGGAAATAGTTGAGAAAGCCGAAAGCGCCAAGACTCGCAAAGCGATGGTCGTCCTGTTGGATAGGGCCAACAGATCTAGTGGAAGAAAGGTAAACTTCTCCAAATAAATACAATTATCAATGTTAATAATGAGAGTACAATTATATGAGTTAGAAACAAAACTTTATTGAAGAGATTTTTAATAAGAGACAAAATGTATGGTTTTAGTGGAATTGTGCGAGACGCATT